TTATTTCAAACATTCCAAATCATCGTTAAGTAAATCATTTATCAGAGTTTATCCCAAAATCAATCATTGCGGAAATCATAGGTGTGTGCATTGCGATCAATCTGAGCTCTTCTTTTCCAAAACGTTGATACCTGAAACCAAAACTGTAAAACGTAAGCACAAAGTTCAGTGAGTCCCCATAGCATACCCCACACACAATCCACATAACACAGATCATGTTAGCTATAAACGCTATCTCTACCGCATACCACATATCAATTAGCTATAAAGGCTACCTCTACCACATTATACAGATCAATTAGCTATCAAGCTATCTCTACCGTTAGCCGCAAGGGCTATCTCTACCGTTAGCCGCAAAGGCTATCTCTACCGCTGTATTTTTCGGTGTAATACATAATATCCATTTTGTGATATTAATTGGTGAAAAGTTTACACCAAATAAAGGGGTATCTTGTGACTAACTTTGGTGTATATTCAATGTATGAATGCCATTGGTGTTAATTAATATTAATATTAGATTGTTGATTAATAGTTAATGAAGTTATTTAATAATTTGGTGTAATAGACAGTTGTGTCTAATTGTTACTAGATTAATAAGAAATTGTGTTTGATAGACTAAGGCTTAATAGACCGTATTTGTATCTATATTGAATTGTTGGAAGTTTATGATGACGTATAGATTGGGTGTTAGTATTCGGTATTAAGGCGGTAGAAGTGTAGAACAGGAAACATATAGGTGATTTTCGGTGCAATATCCAAGTCAGGTGGCAACGAATATTTATTTGGTGATTTGTCGGTGCGATATTTAATGCATGTGGCAACATATATCTATTTGGTGATTTTTCGATACGATTCCAATGCAGGTGACAATAGATATCTATCTGGTTATTTAATAATGACAATGCCCAATGTGGTTTCTACGGGTATCCCTTTGGCATCGATGTTAGCCATATATTATTTACTCTTGGCTTATGGGTGGGTCATAAGTTGAGTACCTAGTGATAGTTAAGCACATTAATTATAGAGTATGGAGTACTTTGGTGGCAACACACAATGAATGTTACAGTTTAGTTGAATAAGTGGACTTGATAAGTTAGGACATGATACAAGTCGTGTAAATCATTTTTGATTGAGAATATATTGGTACTATCGTTGAGAGTTATATTAAATTGGTGTAATTATTGAGAATTTATATTTTGTGAAATATATAATTCCAATAATTAATTGAAAGACATTTAGATGTTTGAAACATGGAGTTATTTATAATAATAAATGTGGTTGAGATTATATATGCATGATTTGTAGGTTCTACATTCTTATGTTTTTGTTCTTGTATACATTTTAGGTAGACTTACCAAAGAAGTGAAGATAACTAAACTTACCAAAAAGTAGTAATGCCCAACTCGGATCTTTATCATAATTTACTGTATTTGATCTTTGATGATAACTACTTGTATCTAACTGTTTAGCATATATACATACACCGTGTGATTTTATAAATTTTAAAGGAAAATTTTTGGATATACTTTAGGTTAAAAAGTTGGATGTTAAACCAACCTTCAATCTGTTATTTAAAGCTCATTTGGTCATTTTTTTAAAATACATAATTTTTAAAGAGCTGTGATATTGTAAATGTGAGAGTGAAGGTTGAGCCACATTCTAAGGTATCATGTTCTTAGTTTAAAATGAATCAATAAACTAGTAAGTAATCCAAAATACAAAATCAATTCCTTCTTCTATTGAATGAGTTGAATTTCAAGCCAAAATATAAATAAGACACAAATCAAGAAAACAAACAAAAATTTTGCAAATCACACTCAAGCCCAAAATCCCAACTTATAATAAATCATATGTTTATACAACAAATTTTTACATCAAGATTCCCTTTTATTGAAAAATATATAGCAAGCAACTCATGAAAAACACACACTGCATGATAATCACAACTAGGAAACACCTGGGAAGGATAGTCTATCCCTGAGAGTATCAAAAAGTGATGAAGTTGTTGAATCTTGTAATGTGTTTCTCAGACACCCCAACAACTCCCCATCTTCACTCTATGATGCAGCATCTGCAGCTTCCTTTCCCATGCCTATTCGAGCATACGCCTGTCATTTGTCAACAACACCCACAAACATATTTTTTTTTTATTATTATTATAATCCAAATCCACATATTTAATTTACTCCAAATATAAAGAAAATATATACAAACCTCTGCTTTTTCACGAGGATCTGCAAGCTTAGAAATGTACTTCACAGCTTCA